AAACCTCATCATTTACTGATATCTCCGCTAGCGCCCCGACCCCGCGGTCGTAATACCGTTTCTGATTTGCCATCCGTTTTCCTAAGCTCCCTTGTAGTTCCTCATACGATGGCGAGACAGGGTGTAAGAGTTCAGCAGACGTAGGCATTAGGTCTCCTGTCCTCCTGCTGTACAAATTTTGCACTAGACGGAGACCGATGTTCGCTAATGGAGTATTACGGATCTTCAACAACCTTAGATACGGGTCCTCCTGAGTGCCTCTGGCTTCCGACAACAGCCTCTCGGTTTGTTTGACCGCTGCCCCTGCTTTTCCGTTAGACTGGCTGTGATACTGGTTCGTTTTCCGATGCTAAGATTCCCACTTGTTGACAAAGATCTGGAAAGCGGCACTTGTAAATTGCGGGCCATTGTCGGAGATCAGTTCCTCCGGTATTCCGTGTCTGGCGAACTGACATCTAAGCTTGTTGATGACTGCTCCCTTGCTGGTAGCGGTGAACGGATCCATCTCAAAATAGTCACTGTAATAGTCCACAGTGATTAACTAGTCTTTACCATTTACACCGAACAAGTTCACCTCTACTTTTTGCCATGGTCGATCTGGAATCTTACGCAGCATCTTTGGTTCGCTGGCTTGACGAGCCTTGTGAGACCGGCAGGTTGAACGGCTTGATACATGGCGTCGGATTTGACTTGTCATACCGGGCCAGAACATTATTTCACGCGCTTTACTAGTACTGTGAGTTACACCAAATTGGACTCGATGAGGATGTTCTAGCATTTCTTTGTGAAACAGCGGTGGGATCAAAATGCGCTTTCCTTTAAATAGCAAACCGTCATACACCGTTAGGTCATCCCGAAGGTTGAAGAACAGCGTTAATTCCTTCGGAAGTTTATTCTTTGTACCTGGCTATCCCTTTAAAATAACGTCTCGCAACGCCACGCACGTCGTGTCTGCTTACGTATGACGCTTTGTCTCTTTCAGGCGATCTTCAGTTAGCGCCAGATGCTGTATCAGATTTACTTCCTCGAGTTCTTCCTGTTGATGTTCGACTATCGAAAGACGTGCTCTCGAAAGAGCGTCCGCGATGAATATTTGCGTCCATGAAGTGTACACCAGATCCATGTCGTACCGTTGGAGCCGAATAAGCATCCGTCGAAGATGTCGAGGGACACCGTGTAACAGTTTACCATCTATTGACACCAGCGGTTTATGGTCAGTATCCACTGTAGTCTACCATCCAAGGGTGTAGTCGTTGAATCACTCCACTGCGTAGATGACAGCGAGCATCTCCTTTTCCATCTGCACATAGCGCTGTTCCGCCAATGTGAGCGCCCGACTGCGGAAATCCAAGAGTTTACCATTGTGTACGAGAACGGCACCTATTCCGTTTTGGCTGATGTCACACTGCCCCTTCAAAAGTAGAGCTGGATTATAGTAATCAAGTACTAGTTCACAGCTAATAAGACTCTTGATGGTTCTAAAAGCTGCCTCCTGCTCTTCTCCCCAACTTCACTTTACAACTTTGTGTGTCAGTCTTCGGATGGGCGTCATAATTTCAGCAAGTCTTGGTAAGAACTGTCTCAAATTATTCACCATGGCATTTAAACGACTAACAGCCTTGACATCTTTGGATTGTGGCATCTCCTACACTGCCTTGATTTTTCCGAAATTGACCTTTATTCCCTTGGATGTCAGACCGTGTCCTTGAAAAATCACTTTGGTTTCCGTCGCTCAACTTTCTCGCGTTTGAGCTTTATGTTCTTTTGTACGCATCGCTGCAAAAGTTTGTGCAGATTGGCGCCATGTTCCTGTTCGATTGAGCCGTAAATCAGTACATCGTCTGCTACACACATTACACCGTCTAGATCGTCGACAGCTTGCGGTAACGGCTTTCGAAAAATTTCGTTCGAAAGCCTCAAACTAAACGGTAAACGTAGTCAGCGAAAACGCCCGAAGGGTGTGACAAACTTCGTCAGGAAACTGGATTCCTCCTCTAGGACTAAGTGCCGGAACGCCGATGTGAGATCAAACTTGGTGAAATACTTCCCCTTAGTCAAACGCGACAGGACACCTTCTAAACTTGGCAGTGTATAGTGTTCTCTACGCAAAGCTTCCTTCAACGGCTTAGGATCTATGAACAGACGCAACTCACCGTTCTTCTTCGTAACAATCGCGACTTGACTAACCCAGTCTGTCGGCTCGTTGACCTTAACGATTACGTCTAATTGCGTCAAGTTACTTAACTTGGTGACGAACTTATCACCTACTGCAAATGGAACCCTTCTAAATGGCAGCGCAATCGGTCGTATTAACGGATCCAATGACATAAACGGAATCTTCAAACCTCCCCAAACTTGAGCTAAATACAGAGGGATACTGTTCACTAACATCTGTCCCCGCTTCACATATATGCACCAAACGATCCTAGTTAACATGAATAAAGCCAAGACGTTGGATGGAATCAATGCCGAGAATCGGCGTGAGCTCTTCCTCCACGATCACGAAAGCCAACTGATGTGAAGAGCCGTCTTTGGGATTGATCACTTTGGTTGTAGCTAAACCTTGCGGCTGGAGTTTGGAACCGTTCCACCTGCGCAGGATTCCCTGATCAGGTCGCATACGAATTCCTGGGCACCGCTTTGCTGGAATTATATTTATGGTGACACCCGAGTCTAACTGGAAACAAATCATCTCATCACCAACCAATAAACTTGCATAGACGCACTTCTTTGGTCCTGTCCGAGACACGTTGCTGATTGAAAGTTCAGAGTCGGAGGGCGTTGTGTCACGATTGAGTGCATTCGCCTTCGAAGACTGACAACATCGAGCGAAATGATTCTATCTGCCGCATCTAGAGCAAATTCGGCCCCACGCCGGACATTGAACGCGATCCATCAGGTTTCGCGCGGCGCAGAATCTGCAAGTTTCGTGCGTTTTGATAACAGGCTTCGGTTTTGTCGAGTAAACTGGAAACGGCACATAGCTCTGTTTCATTCGGCAACCGTTTTTTGCTGGATGTGATGTGCAGCTGATGATTCACTGTGATATTGTCGGAGCGATAACTGCCGTTGCCGCAACAGCTGCTTGGTGATGTTTTCATTATTGATTCTCAGCACGATTCTATCCTGGACTAGACTGTCAGCCATGCAATTGAAAAAATTACAGTAAGGGGTCAGGATTTTTAACTCCCTAACATGGTTCTTCATAGCTTCGTTTGGGCGCCGGTTTCGGGTAAAAAAAAGAGATGCCGCTGATACGTCTCGTTAGTCTGGACTTCGCAGAAATCTCCGAATTTTCAGACGACAGTATGCAGATCAGCTGGGTCCTCGTCCATTTCGTACTACATCATACTGCTTCATCGATCGCATGTCTAAACATCGTTAATCGATACGCCATCGGTTTTTCATTCAGCCGCACCAGTACACAGAAATCGACCGACTTGCTTTCCCAGATTGTCAAATTAATGGCCGAATTTCGTTCTTCCAGGTTTAGTGGAGCAGGTGTTTGCACAGCTAGTTGCGTTCTAATCAGTAATTGAGCACCAGTGGGTGACCTTGGCTTGGTTTTCTGTGACACCATGTCGTAGAACCCGGTCCTTCAGGGACAAAGGGTTTAGTTGACAAAGCAAGCTCAGCGTAAATGACAGCCTGACAAGCACGTAGGAACCTCGATATAAATAAATAAGTCATTTCCATAACTAACGACGCTGCTGCACTCATGAGATTCTTCCTTCCGATGAAGCAATCAGCGCGTAGACGAAATATGCGCAGGCGTCCAACCAACTGCTCTGTTCGGTTGCAGCAAGCTAGCAGCTTGCTTGAACAATCCTATCTCAAACTGTTCAACGCGCTCATTGTTTCAATGAATGACATCTGTGTGTTGGGATCCACCTAGAGTACGGTCATAAGTAACAAGCGCATGATCATCTTTGAAGAACTTGGGCTATACAAACGCACTACTGCAACAGAGTATCTTGTTACCATACTGTGGTCGGGGTTTTCAAGAAAATTCAACCGGTTTTGTGACCTCTTTCATAGGAATGCTCATCGCCGTATGCTGTTTCGTTTGCAAGCTCACTTTGCTGTTCACCATCTTTAATAACTTTGTGTCGAATGATGTACGAGCGTAGTGATCCCTAGCGGCAGCAGGACACAGTTGTCAGTTCCTCTTGCTCACAGTCGTTCCACCTTGGGATTAGATTCGGAACATGAGGAAAACGTCCCTGATTGACGAGGTAATTACGCATAAAGTTCGACTGCTATATGCCGTCGCGTGAATTACTATACGTGAACAATACGTCCGCTTTGGCGAGCTACCTACTCGTCCGAAGATTGCATCACAATTGATGATTCCATATACCTGTTAGAGGTAGTTTGGCAGACGGGGTGCGCAATTTTCGTGACAACGCCGAACGCAGAAGTTGGTTCCATCCAATGTGGACCGATTACGGATCATCCATTGCCTTGTGTATATTTGTCAAGCATGTTTTTCATACCTTGCTTCATTAATGTCGGTTGAAAGAGTTGGCTGACTCTGAACCAACCATCCACCTGCATCCCGAGCTTATTTAGTTGTGTTCATAGAGGACGTGAGGCACGTGTGGATGACGCGTGTGGTGGCACAGCGCAAGCCTTCTGTGGGCTCTCTTTGGACGCAGGCAAAGTAACTCGCAGTACTGGATACGGATACAACCACCCATTGTGACATCGTCTGCCTTGAGGTCGTATCATAAATTAAACAACGCTGTGTGACACACTCGGTAACAAGGCGCATTTGATTCAACTTCTCGCGCATAACCCGAATGCTTGATATTATACAAGGCTAGCATACCATTGGTCACCACGAGCCATTTGTTGATTTGGGCAGCTATATACTCGTTTTCTGAGTGTATGCGTTTTGCATCTTCACTACATCTATCCGATAAGGACCCTATGTCTCCGTCTTTGTATTGTAACACCGATGCATCATGAATCCCACTCAACTGTTTACACCCCCTCAGGTAAAGGATACGGCGGAGGTGCAGCCGGAATGAACGCAGGTACTGGACTGATGCTGAAACAAGCCGGTGGTGTGTTCGGAATGGGTGGGTTGGTCGATGCGCTATTGGCCGGTCTATTACTGGCCCTTCTCCTCCTAATCTCCGCTCTCATCTGGGCGTGTTGGCGGTGCAAACCTGGATGCTGCGGATTCTGTTACGGAAAATCCACCGTTGCCGGCCGCAAAGGTGCCACTAGTTCTGCTTGGGACCGTCTGGTGGGTCTGTGCTGCGCGGCACCCACGGTAAAGAGTAAGTTTCCCTAACGGCTAAGGGCAGAGCACTTAAACCTAATCGATAATGTGCCCTAAATCGTATTTTTTAACATCAGTTAAGCTGGCATTTATGTCGGCTCTAGCGTTAATCATGTTGCGGTGTTAGAGACATTACAGTTGCAGCGCAACACTGATACGCTCATCACCAGCCAATTAAACGAAAATAAATGTGCTGATCAACTTTGGAGCGCTTTCTGCTTGTGATATTGTACTGGCGCCGAACGAATGCAGGTCAATAACCTTGATTCCTACAGTGCATTCTCTTGTGCATTGGTGCCAAAATCTCGGAAGCGCATAGCATCGCAAAAGCACAACGGGTGCGTATTAAATATAGAGCCCTGCGCTCAATCTGTTTTCGCATACTGATCAAGGCTTACTTGCACACCGGGTAGTAGGAGCAGTTAGCTATCGGCGGCGGGGCAGTCGGTTAGAACCGAAGCCGTGTTACTTGGTGGTAGACAATTGTTCTACCACCTATTGCAGCGAAATTATGCAGAAAATGGGAAAATGAATGCTGAAATTATGTTAACCAGGTTTGGTAACCTATAAAACGCTAAATAATCTAAGCAAATTGGTAGATTTTACAAATGTGGTTTTAATGGATGCGTTAGCGAGATTTCAGATAGGGAAGACCGGCCAGCTTGGCCCGCCACACATGCTGTACTCTGAGAGCCATTCGGTCGGTGCCAATGATGCTGCAATGATTCCCTAGGCTAATTGCTCATGCAGCAGCACTACATCGACAATCCAACGGGTGGTGGAAAATATTCAGTTCTTCAATGCACCTCAGTAACGCAGTGTTGGCCTGTGACGTATCCAGCTACGACTTCTGTAAATACCTATCGTGAGTCGGATTTCCGCTTTGAAAGTAAAACCAGCCGAGTAACTATGCCAGAAGAACCATGGCTAGGTGAAGTGATGGCCAGAAAGGACTCATGCTTTTTGGACAATTTTATCAATTCTACTGTAATTATCAATCAGTAGGAGTTTCAGCTTGGTAGTTCGATAGGTAGTCAAGGCGCACGTTTACATGTAATAACTAACTAGGCTTCTTTCTCTAGAAGTTCCCTTTTATTTCGCGTTACTGATACATCCGGAGGATCTCATAATATCACTGTAACCTCCATTAGATATGAAACATCATGCAGAGTAAGCATCCTTTCAACTGCTGCTGGCTTTCCGTATCTGCTGGGTGATTAATTGTCATTTGGGGCGTAAAATCGCCCATATCCTTCATCGTTAGGTGAAAATTTGCAATCTTGAATGGCCGCTCCTTTCTGGTCTACCGCGCGCATTCAAATATTCGTGGGGTAGAACAATTGTCCACTGCCGTATTACCTTCACCTAGTCGGCCAAAATGGAGACAACTTGTCTTGGGGTACTACTTCCGGAGTGATCAACACAGGATGGCATTGTCTTTCTCCATTCCAAAACATACTTGAACCAGAGCTCGACTGAGCTAACTTACTATGTAAGCACGCTCTCCATAATGATGGAACTCAGGCTTTTGAGGGTACAAGTTTCCGACTTTAACTATAGATGACCATAGCGCAGCGCGGCTGAATACCACTCACTGGTGCCATCAAATGTGGCTGGTTTGGGCGCTTAGTGATTGTAAATGCATAAATGGTATGCTTCGCGATGGTCCAACAAACCTAGTCCGCTGATGCCGTACATGTGACACGCGGAATTGGGTGTTATCTCACAACAGCTTCCGAATAAGATAGTCCTGCACATACGCGGGAGAGCACCAGCCGGCCGTTTCATCCCATCGAGGTTCGTCAGTAGTGCGCATTCAACAGGATCCGAACCCACGACCACCAGCGGTTTGCACCGCCCTCCAAAAGCTTACGTCACCAAGTCGTTGGAGACAGCAGCGGACATTCCTCATTTACAAACTGACTGCGATACAGCGCGAGTTATCCTTCACTGTGAGGTAAGTTGCGAACGTTACAGGAGACAGTGTCTGGCATCCGAGGTTACGACTTCCACTACACAGTAGCTATGCTCGCATAACATTCGAAGGCGTTCGCCCTCACAGTCTTCCAATGCTATGCGCACACAAGTACTGTGTAGTCGCAGTCGTAACCTCGGAGGCCAGCCACTGTCCTCTGCAATGGTACGAACCTGCATGGCAGGAGGAGGATAGATTGCGCTATATCCCAGTTAGCTTCTAAGTTCAGACGGTCTACCTCGTCCCTCACACTACCGTGGCATAAACTGCTGGCTAGTTGGAGTAAGGCACTAGCAGTCATGCGTTCGATCCTCAGCAGAGAACCGAGAGAATGCAACAATGGCGAGCCCCAATAAGGCGTGACGATCGTCTGATGTTTTTTCAGTTTTGGGTTAGACTAATCTGGCTTGTGAACAGCTAGGATGAGTCGGTAAAAAATATCCAGAAGTGCTGGTGCCAAAGCTTGTTTTCTGCGCGAGCAAATCTGGTCCCCTTTGAAGTGATATATGTACAAGTGACTTCCTCTCCAAGCTTTCTCCAAATCAATCCAACAAAGATTCGAAATGGATTAAAGCCGACGGAGCTGTCAAGGGAAAGAGAAGAACCATTGTTTGTCTTGTGCGGACGGACCAAACGGAAGAGACAATAGGAAAACTCAAATTTTCCGTAACCGGAGCTGAGCTTGTCTGTTTTGACTGGCGACTGCAACTTGAGAGATATCGCTTGCAACATGAATTTACCAACTAGACATTTAGGGCATTGGATAAGATGTTAGCGACAAAGTACATCATTCAGACCAGAACACTCCTTGCACAGAAACCAATTTTCCACGCTCTGTGCGCAGTCGGTCGAATTTAGAATCAAGTTCATGCAGCATGACAGATGTGACATAGAGTAGCACTGAGCTATATAGAATCATACGAAAAGCAGTGATTTGGTACGCATTCAGCTTGCGGCAACAGAATGAGGCTAGTACAGGTATCATATTAGCAGATAGTATCAACCCTTTGCATGCACGTACTGATCGCACGCGGAAGGCGACACATTCCTGGAAGGCGACATATGCTGCCTACCGCAACGCGGCACCATCAGTCGTCTGATTGGTGGCATACGTGCACCGCAGACAGGGAGGATTTGCACAGAGCAGTGGTCTGCCGGTGTGGCGATCAGGTGATCAAACGGTTACTTATTATACTTTCTAGATATGTTAGTAATCCACACGGAAGCTTTTCTACTGTTTCTTCGTCCTCCAACGCGTGCGGCGCACAGCGTACTGCGGTATGCGTGAAGGGTGATCAGGCATAATACGCTACTTTCGTCCAAGTGCACTTTATCACTAAGTTTGGGGACTCAGAAGAGGAACAAATTGATTATTTTGGCAACTATGTTTACCGATCAATCCATTTGCTACCTTGATTTACACAGTTGCATAGGCTTTTATGTTATTGATCAGATTTTTGGTTAACTGTATGACATCGACTGTAGACCACACAGCGAAACTCCGATGCAGGCAACTCTGTTCAACTGGGATTAATACGAGATATTTCCATTTCTTTTTTTTACCAAGGTAAAGAACGAGAAACGCTAATAAACGGAACCGATATACAAGTGAGTTCGTATTCTTATAGACCACCGAAAAGACCAGATGCGAACTACGCATAGAAAGAACCGCTTACAGAGTAGAGAAACCAAGATCAAATCTTGCTCTATCTGTTAGACTGAAACGGGGTGCTCCCATTCGAATCCATCTAGTTAGTGCTTTTCTTCTTCAGAAACAGACTCAGTCAGATTACTGCAATAGATACCTTCCTACCTGGACTTCATCCGACTAGTAGCTCGAAACCACAACTTATAGCGTTGCAAGCAACCACCTTAGTCTTCTGCTCATGAGTAAACTCGGTACTGATCACTATGATCATGTAATTCGTTATAACGACATCGGTGGTTCTCTCTCCATTCGCGCACACGCTACTACCGTACAGTGGTCACGAATGACATCCATAGATGAAACTTCCCTTGCTGTGCCAACAACTGGATGATCTAGTGCCACTTTAAGTAGCCTGCACAAATTGCTGGTCACAAGTGGTGATTTAATTGCTCGTAGCTAAAAGCAATCCCACAGCCACCGGTACCAACTAGCATGACGAAGGGATTAGAGGTAATTTGATGCGGTTCATTCGGCATTGACTTACACCTCTTCGTCACGAATCCTCGGCCGGGGTGGCCCCTCAAACCATGGCAACCCAACCTTGAGCAACGAAGAGACTTACAGCGCACTAAATGTCATGTTAGTTCTCTGGGAATCAAAAACTAAGTCTCGGCCCCGATCAAAGTCCGTTATTCACAGGACAACAGCTTGACTTAGAATCATTCACAAAGGGGTGCATCCCTTTTTTATTTTTACTTTTTTGGTCGGCGATCGAGTTTTGTTCATCTCAATCCAAATCAATTGTGCAATATCCTTCAGCTCGCGTCGGCGACGATCGATCAGCTTTCAACACTTCAGCCCAAACTCGTGCAGCTCGCCTGTTAGACGAGCCACCATCCTATTCGGCGTGGTATATTGCCACGACCACACTAGGCATCCTTTTATTCATATCGACAATCGTCATCTTTTTTAATCCCACTTGTATCAGCTCCTCACAGAGTCGAATGAATACTGAATACTGGTTAGAAGCAGCTAGTAGACCTTGCTCTGTGTAGCTGCATCAGTCGTCACTCATGGACAGATATCCGTTATATTGTGTTCCGCTCGATATATTTTGCCTCGGCAACGTGTTTGTCCAGGAAATTCTTAAATTCCGACACTGAGTTTGCCTCTACTACGTGCTGTGGCAGGTCGTTCCATACATTCACCACTCTGCGTTCGAAACAGAGTTGGTGAGTGACCCATTTCAAATCCGGTACGACAAGCTTATACCGGTGTCCTCGTGTGCTGCTTGGTTTGCGCAGATGAAGCAGCGGTCTCAACATAGGGTAATCACCCAGATGTAATATCCGGTGAGTCATGATGAGGTTAACCCTCATTCGACGATAAGCTAAGGTGTACAGCCCTAGTTTCTTACACCGGTCTTCGTACGGCACACCACGTAAGTTGGGAATCAGTCTGGTGGCTACATACAGCACTCGCTCAATCTTTTCTACCTCACCCCGGGTGATAGGACAATACGCGGGAGAGCCATACTCTAGCATTGATCATATTATTTAGACGAAGAGGCGAGTGACAATCTCTTCGGACCAAGTGCTGAAGTTGCGCCAGAGCGCCCAAAGCATACGAAGGCTGTTTTGGTAAATCCTATTCGTATTGTCCATGGATTAGGTCCTAGCGTGAGAGTACACCGAGGTCGCGCACAAAAGGAGCGGGATGTAACGGTTTACCAGCCACCTTGTATGTTCGACTGTGTTCACACTTACCAAGCCTCATGAATTGCGACTTGACCGGGTCGATCGGAAGGTTGACCACTGCAGACCACGTGGAGAGACGGTCGAGGTCCTGCTGAAGCAAATCACAATCACTGGGTGTGCGGATTACCCTCCACACCTTCAAGTCATCTGCGAACAACGCATAAGGTGATTGGAGTAGCTGAGGCACATCGTTTACATGGATCAGAAAAAAAATCGGCCCCAGTACAGTGCCTTGGGGCACGCCGCTGCTCGATGGATACCAGTCGGTTAAATGATTGTCAGCCTAGACCTGAGTGCACATCCCGATGCACGAAAAGACAAATCAACGCTTTCCCTGTCGTTGACAGTCGTATGACTTCATCTAATCACAGCGGGCTCCCTGTAGCCCCCCAACCTATCAGTGTGGTGTACAGGCATTTCACTTCGCAGATGTAAGATTTCCTCATAGTGGAATAAAGCACCAGTGTGCTCTTCATCCATCCATGTATAGATGCAACAGTTACACCATCATCTCGACAAAATAGTATACGATACTCTCGTCGATAAAACGAGATGTAGCCAATTTCAGTTACCTTTGCTTCATTAAAAAATGTTGGGTGAAGCAAATTTGTACGATAACAACTATCCAAATTTGGACCGGCAGATGAAGCAATAGCGTGCACAGATCACGGATGACAAATCATACTTGTGTGTTTTCATTATGGACGCTAGTGTTTTTGGTTAAGCACCAACGCATTTCAGTGTGGAACTCAAAGCAACATCAATGCTAATTGTGTCTTAACTTAACGAAACATTTTGAATTACCGCGGCGATCGCTTGCTTCCATCAATTCCGTTGTTAGCGCGTTCAAGTGGACACACCCTCTTGGTGTATCCCAAAGAAATTGAAGGAGGATAAACGGTGCAGAAAGTGTAGAATAATTATGTAGTAATCGCAAGCTGACACAGCTAAATAAATTAACTAATGCAAGCATGCGAACCGAAAAAAATTTAGCTAGGTATGTAAAATTATGCGATCAAAGCTTCTATAAATATGTATGATATAGCAAAGCACCAATTTCAGCGGTCTCTCCGATGACAACGATCTATCGAAATGTATCTGTAAGCGGATAGAAGGGGAGTACTTTCAATCTTATGATCACATGTGAATGCGTTTTTAATGGGCGTTGCTACTTCTCCGTATTTCACCTTGTCATAGGTAAGAGTGAGCTCACATTTACAATGTGTTTGTTAAACATCGCAACAGGAATGCATCTGGAAATTGTCTTCCAGACAATCAAGCCAAAGGACAAGATGATTAGTTGTGGAGACGGTGTGACGAATACAAACTAAGTGAACTCCGAACTGCATCAGAGGCTTGTCAAGACATACGATGTAAATTAAAAGGTGAAACTGAACGATATAAGGGTCTAGCTCTCTGGTGGGTCCCCGTAGATGATGGATTAAAGGTACTAGCTAAAGATGGGCACATACACAACACAGTACACTCCATGTTCCAGGATCCTTGATGCCAGTTTGCATTCTGTTGCTGTGAACAGATCTAGCGGACACGTTGCGTAGTGTTAATCGTTTTCTCTTGAATTTCTCGTTACTTTCAGGATCACTCCGTGATACCTCCATACATCTCAGGACCACCGCTGGATCTCAGTCCCGGGTAAGCATTTGTTTGCACACAATTGCATGATTGTGCGATGACTCAAAAAGGTTTTAATGTCAGCATTATACTCTTGCCAAAATCAAAAAGACGCGATTTGAAAATGATCACAACAACTGCGCACATGTGTGCGTCAACAATGCAGACGTCACATTCGCCGTTTCCATATCTCTCTGGCTCAGCCGAAAACGGTTCGGAACAACGCACAATGAACTGAATACATAATGCCAGCTTATAAACGCAACTTTTGCGTTCGATTAAGATGAAATTAGACCGTTTTGGTGTAATTCTCGGGTGCGTAACAGAAACCATACAGGACCATGCAGCCCAACAATACATTCACCAAGCGCAGTCGATTGTAAATGTAATATTGGTGAAAAAACGACTGCTGAGACATGCCAGATGCACTGGAGTGGGCTACTTCAGCCAGCCGATATGGTGGGCCCTTTTAAGAGTCAACTTAGTGACATTTTACTGGTTCGTTCCAGCAGCTCACAAACCAAGTAATCTGATCCCCAATCCGGAAAAGCACTAGATGATCGTTTCGCTCGGACACTGCTCGTCAATGGTGCGTATTTTTTCAGTCCCCTACAGGAAACGAAACCCATGACCGTTAGCACCTTACGCCAAGTACCCAGCAGCTTATGCTACTGAGCCATGGGGAAGGAGGCGGGCCATAATAATTTACGAGCTAACTGGGGTATAACGAAACCCATCCGCAACTGTCATGCAAGTTACTGCATTTGTAGAGGGCGGTGGCTGGCTGATAGTTGCCAAAACACTAACTTGTGCAACCCACAACTGAATCGGACGATTCGATGCTCTCACTAAATTCTAGGAACCATAATAAATCACAAGCCTGATGTCTATCATGCGATTATTGTTCCACTGACTTGTTCGCAAACTGATTGTCCAATACAAAATGAATTAGACCTCAACAATCATCTCCATTGTATCCATGCGTGTTCAGCTTCCCAAGTCCGACCACTGCGACCATCCCCATTGAACACCCTATACCAATTCCGGATCAAAATATCTACAACCTGGAGGGTATGAAGGTTGATTCCATTCTCATCACAAAGAACAGCAAATATTTCGTAACAGGTTCAGGCATGGGACCGCCAAAAGTGTGGGATTCGACGGTAAGTGAAGCATCGGATTTCGGTCTTGAACGAGAGAGATAGGCGTCAGAATGTTGTGTTTTCAAATCGTCAAGTCGAGTGAAACATTGCTTTATGTACCCTTGGCGGGTGAATATTCAAGTACACAATAGTATATGTGCATTGATGACCGAGATTGTTGAACCAAGTCCAGAATCATTAGGCATCAAGTCTTGTCTGCAAATGATCGATTAGACGGTAACAGAGATATTACTAATCACGGGAAGAAATGTTTGCAATGTAGATGACGATTGGAGCTTTGCGAACATTCGGTACAGCTGTGCTGTGCTTTCCTGTGCACCAGCATAACGGCACAATACAGTATGCACTACGCATATTTACAGCGCGCTGCAAAACGTTCTGCTTTTACTGGGATGTATGACTATATAGAATGAATGAAATCGGGCCCAATGAGCACTTTATAAGCCACTCATAAGCACTGAACACCGTAGAGTACAGGAAGGCTGCCCACCCAGTTATGTTAGACAATGAATTGAGCTTATATATATATATATATATTTATGGGAACTGTTTGATAGTGAGCAATAGTCAGCTTGATCGTTTTGTACAAGACTGCTGCTTCGTCATCCTTGGCTATGAAATCGCTCCGGACGGTCGGTTTGTGTTTCGGAGCTTAGTGTTTATTAAGAAAATCTTGCTGCAAACGTGTGCACATCAGACTCACATAATCACATCAACTCTTTTCACTGGTTCTTTCCCGGTTGCAGTCTGGAGAAGTTTTCAAACTTATGGAAGGTAACGAATTGGCATGCACCGATCTAAATTTGGCCTGTGACGACACAGTGCTCGTCTCACAAGTTGTCGACGATCTGAGTGGCCATTTGGATACCCTAACTGACATGAACGCCATTCGCGTTAAGCGTCTACAAGTAAGCTTGCTGTTTTCACCATGTCCGCTAACTTTATTTATTGTGATTACGCGATTCTGAATGGCTATATTCACGCCACCCTAGCAATTTTGCCGAGTACTTACAAGTTTGATAGCTATCACAAGGTTTAGACATCGGACCAGATCTACAAACCGAGTAACGATTACACTCAGGTGAAGCGAACATTTCGGTTTATGCGTTTTATGTGCACACAGTGATGGTGAGCCGGTCGGATATTTGTGGGAGTAGACTGGGATCCCGCTTCAAGGTAAGCACTGATAGATATCTTCTATCTCGTTCACTAGAAATGGGCAAAACTATCGGATGCACTGGACCTCGTTACGTGCAAAGCATGACTCGTAATGAGTACCTAAAGCCGCCAAGCCGTAAAGCATTTGTCATGTCCTATTGACAGTGGGAAGGTAATTGTTTAGCATTTCAGAAATGGCACCAACATCACATATTCAGACGAGCGATGAATGTGATCGTCTATTCTAGTTGGGGAAGAGCAACGGTGCGAACTTATCAAGTTCGGTAGAGTCGGCTTTATCACTTTTAGACAATGGTACGCAATGGAGGACGTGGGTATGCCTTCGATCGTCATACAAAGCCCAGTGAGCTTTGGTCCTTTTGTGATACTGAGTGAATTCACATGCATAACTCGCGCGGACAAATGTGAGCGGGTTGCACCAAAAGTAGGACAGAATCGCGTGTGTTTCGCCTCTCTATAGAGCTCTGAAGCACTGCGATCGTTCACTGTAACAATCTTCCCCATCTGATCTAGTGGAGTGAAAAAACATGAGGTGTACACCTGCTTTTGTACTAAGTGTATGACAGATGGGCAATGCTTCGAGGGTCGGATTATGTGGAGTTGGCATATCGTTATACCACCTATAATATGTTGTTTATGATCAAATTTGCAATCTTTTGGGATTAACTGGGTAATTACAGTAGAACCTTCAGCATTTTTATGTCAATAACAAATACCCATGGGCTAATACGTCCTAGTTTATAGAGATTAGAAATTACTGATGACTGGCTTCTGACCAAACGAATGATTAAAGTGGACTAATGCATATTTTCCTTCCCTTTATTTGTCAACCACAGCTCTGGGACTTTGCAAGTGGGGGGCAACTAGAAATGCCCGTTGAGATTATGTGCACGGCTACGTGTCTCACTCGGAAGAGCGAACATGTCATCGTGGCCCGCTCAAGTGCCAGTGGGCCATCCATCCTGGCATGGAACTTGCCAGCCAATCAGTCGGATACGGAGATTTTCTACGAACCGATTAGCCCTGCACTGCGTGACTCAGTGACTTACTTGAATATCTCCCACGACGATCGTCTGGTGGTGGCCGGCTGCAAGAATGAAGAACAAGCATGCTACATGGTATTTGATCTGGCCGCGCACTATACGGTAAGCGGAGTATTTCCTATGCACCCGGGCTCTGGTGAATTCGAATGTGATCGTTTCGTTTCGTACGTTCAAACGCTCGATGATTTAGAGATGTCGATGTGCAACACGAACTGTTAGGTTACACGTCACTTGTTTTGCCAGTGTCTGAAATTCTTATAAATACGAACTATTGTCCCTACACCAAACTGCGCTAGAACCAATCGCTTTGACCCACCCCGGAAGAGACAAGTATTTGCTAGTCAAGTGGACCAATGCAGACTGTGGGAACGAGGATGAAAGATTCATTCGGTAAGGACACACGAAAAAATTCGTGGTCTCATTTAGTGCTAAAAATCCCAGTTGAACCCGCGTACGCTTCAATCAAGCTACTGACTTCTTGAACGTGTTTTATCCCCGAGGAAAGCTAACCACTGGTGTGTCCAATGTGTCGGTACCTCTTCCAGAAAGCCGATAACAATCAACACAACTCAACCTGCCAGTGAATTTCTTCATGCCTCTTTCCCATATCCTCAACCACTCACCTCGTGGATCCACCCAGTTGGGGGCAACAAGGTCGCCTAAACTTCCTCGAAGAAGTCGATCGACAAGAATGCGAATACCCTGACCTAGCAAATGTTCATTCTACTTAAACATTTGTGACTCTGGCACCGCCCAGTGCATTAGGCACAGTTGTCACCTTGAGTTCGTCGCATTCAGCCGACAATTCAGCTAACACAACTACCAATCCAGATTGGTAGTTGACGCAAACCAGTTCCTCTTCGCCAGTGGGCCAAACTTTCAAAAGTATTCTCAACTCTCCACATTCTCTGGATTACCACATATGCTCTCCATCCCGGACCAGATTTCCAATTAACTGGCGTTACTCTAAATTGTGTGCGATATCCACCTCGCCAGTGGGTAGCATTTTGAAGTAATATCGAAGAATTCAACCTTTCCTACTCAAAACGATCTAGCCGATTATCTTTGATTGGCTTCTTAGATAGAATCTCCATGGGTTAACCATCGAAAAACCAAGATACGATTCGTCATCTCATGGAGCATGCAAACAACCTGACAGAAAATATTGAAAGTTGGGGGCCGTGACGACTGCGACTAGCAGTTCCAAATTACACTTTCATTTCGTCCGTGAAAGCATTTTACAGCATGATAATTTGCACCACTGCTTGGTCGCAAGTATTTATTTGGATTGTACTCTGCCCTCGTGTAACAGATTCCTTGGCTACGTTTGTCATACATCGGGCCATACACCATAAATCTTGTCACTGTCAACCACCACTTCGTTCTTTAAACTGTTAACAACTGACCATTATACAAACTTCCTAATCGGTCTAGGTTGGATGTACTGCACACCATTACACCTGCATGATCATGCCTCTATGGGCGTGCAACGCATAGGGGAGATAAGAGTTTACCTATTTATTTAGTCCTCTGTGTCCTTAGATAGGGAGATTTATATCAACACTCCACCAATGCTTTCATGATCTGTGTGTGTAAGCAGTTTACGTCAATGACTATATTTTCACTCCTTTGTAAAGGTACCCGCCCAGCCACGTATTGTCGTTTTTGATGCAGAAGTGAATGCGACAGAGATCATTGGACCGGACACCGCAGTGACAGGTAAAAACCGCTAACCAGAATTTGCGTGCCATAGGCTTCACACCTGACTATTTCTACCGACCAGATTCTCACTGTTTTGTAACTTCGTATCTTTTTCTAACAGGAACGCGTAAAGGAGAATTGCTTGTGTGGAATCTGCACACCGGTGAAGTGATTCGCCAGATACAAATCACAGCCACCTTAGAAGCTGGCACTTTGACGACGTTCTCGCCTCATTCCGAGACAATACACTGTATTCAATTGTCGGAAGACAGACAATATCTGGTGACTGGATCACAAGACCAGCTGGTACGCGTATGGAGTATGCCTGATGAGCGCCTTCTCCACACACTGGAAGGTCATGCAGATGATGTGAGTGAATTAAATGATTATAATCATACAATGAGATGATCCGTTGATGCCAACTGACTAGCTGAACTGTGGGATATTTGTTGCCGTGCTGATTAGGCCAGAATTGGGACGGGTAACTATGAGGTCAACGAGCCTAGTATATTACTGTACTAAACACACCCGTCTCAAAATTGCGGTAGGGTTCCTACTGTCTAACAGTCCGAAAATATTAGATTTCTCATTTTTAAGTGTAATATTCTATTTCTAAAGGATTAAAAGTTGGAATCTATGATTACTTGTACAAAATCACCATATTACTAGGTTTACAATCTCTGTACACCTGAAACAAGTGGGCTTAGCACTTGTGAATCAAGGTTAGTGTTTATTCAAAAAGAAGCATGTAGTTTGGTGTCGTGGACGGGAAAAACCGTACCTAACGATGTGGTTTGCAACTTATTCTAACCGTATAACTCCAAGGCTCCGACAGGGATTTTAACGGCTGCATTAAGCTAAAGCTACGTACTCGGACGAAATGTATACTACGAGCTATAAAACTACACTATAAGCATGGTCTTGAGTACAAGTTGTGGAGAAGAAGCTCTGTAATACATTCCTGTAACCGTGGTTCTGGAGAGCAGGACACTGTATAAAGCCGAATCCACGACTAGACTTGTAGGGTGCGGACAGCGGACGAAAACAGACATTAGTGCAGTTAATGGCAGGGCTAAGTGAGCAGAATTGCGTTACCATCTAATATAAAGGTCACACAAAGTAATATCGTCTAATGTTCGTAAACTGATTGCCTAAAACGCGCGAACAGAGCTGTCAGGCGAAGACGGGAGTATTGTGTCTTTATGAGGCAATAATATGGTCTTCACTGGGAATGGAAGTCCACACAGACACTGCAGGTATGGTGATGCTGTTGGCGTCACGAAATTATCCCCATCTTTCTCCAGGGCAGTCGAAACAAAGTCACTGTTACATTTACTAGACGTTATCGCGATTCTCCAGAAAAACGTTCCCACGTTGGAACAGGAGCATTGTATCCAACACTATTTATCGCATTTAACTACATACCCCGTTCGCTATCAAGGTCAAACACCAGACGCAATCTGGTGTCAAAAATCGGCTTATTCAGTTCAGGCCAATTGCTGCCTTAACTCACAGACTCACCGTTTGATGGTATATCGATAGAACACGAAGACGGCGACATGTGGCTATAGCGGCTTGTAACTATCGGTGGCTGACTGTCCATTTGAGTATTACACTCCAAATTGGGAACACTAATGGTATACAGTTCCAAAAGTGGTGTGATATCGAACCGGGCTGCGCCTCTATGATAATATAAAGATGTTTGGACAGATAGACACGGTTCAAGCGCGGAGCACCTGGACGACTTGGTTTCGCACTTCCCCGCCGTATTTCTCAATAAACCGACGCCTATTCTAGTACCGGCATAGGTTACGCCAGTCTTACTCGACAGCCTACAATGTGATGCAGCTACTGGTCAACCTCGATGGTTCAAAGCCCCCGGAGCAGACGGACTTCACCCACCAATACTCAAGTCCCTATCGATTATCATCTCACCAACGGTGACAAACTTATACAATTACTCTTTGAATGATCTGTCCTCAACGACTGAAAATGCTCGATACTGCGACCGCTTCCCAAGGGTGGTGATCTGAGTAAAGTAGAGAACTATAGACCGATATGTTTGACTTCCTATTATCCAAAGTTCTCGAAAAGATTGTGAACTAGTGTATGCTGTCGTTCTCTGAGTCAATGGGCGCATTGACGCCGACGCAACGTGGTCTCAAGAAAGGGCGATCCTGTATCACCAAGTTGATGTACACAATCAATCAGTGGGTACGAGGTCTCAACGAACGGATGGGTGTTGACGTGGTCTACACCGACTTTAGTGAGGCGTTAGACGGAGTGAACCACGAGGTACTCCTACGTAAACGGAGGACCTACGGAATCAGTGGCATGCTACTTCAGTGGTTACACAAGTTTATTGTGGGACGAAAGTGGAGAGTACAGGTCAATGACTACCTGACAGACTGGTTTCCATCGACCAGTGGTATGCTTCAAGGAACTGTACTTGGGCCAGGATTATTTTTTATTCATATCAACGATCTTCCGCAACAGCTCCAGTCACCATGTGCCCTGTTGGCAGATGATTTCAAAAGCTGGAGGTTAATTGAGAACCAGGACGACTGCGCTCGTCTCCAGCAGGATTTAGATCGACTGTCAACGTGGTCCACTGAGATGTAAGTTCTTCTTAACGCAAGCAAGTCGGAGCTCATCAGTATCACCAGACGTGCAGCCACTCGATCATACACCATGGACGGCCAGTTGCTCCACCCCAACACATTTGCCAGAGACTTAGGAGTGCTCTCGCAACATGCTATGAGATCACTAGAAAATACAGAGAAATTGTACCGCGTGGGACTTCGTATGCTCTGGGCATTACGACGCGGTTTCTCCACATCATCTGAATAAACCGTCTTTCGCTTATTCACCTAGCTCATCAGACCAATCCTTGAATACGGCTACTCCGTTCACCATCGATAACCTAGTGGGAAACGGAAGAGCTGGAGAAAATACAACACATTGCAACTACAATGATTCCCAGTCTACGAAAGCTTCCGTATGAAACACACTGTCCTACCACCGAGTAGGAATTGACCATTTAATGACCCATCGAATACCACACCTGAATCAATACCCCACACTGCGGCCAATATTTCATCAGCGGGAACCCTGTAACACTCGAGAACACGGTTACAAACTCACGGTCCCATGTATTAACGGGATATCATATCAACTGTGTAGATCGAAGAATAGTAAACTTATGGAATACACTCCCAGAGGGACTAATAGAGGCCGATTATTTCGGAAACCTGTGCTTTTGTGAAACTGCACATACAGTGCAAAATACACATCCTATATCCTGAAATAATGACACCAATACGAACTCCTAACCGAACAAGGATAGACGATTAACTAACCAAACTCTGCCGCTAACAGTTGGCAATTAAATGCTTTTAATTTTTCATAATTCGGTAGCGTTTTACCGAAACCTTTCTACTTACTCTTAAATACAGTCTCAGTCGCAGTCTCAGATGCGTACTAATCACTACAGTGATTTGACAAAGGGAACTTTAAGCAAAGTAGATGGGTGAAAACGGGACTTCTTCGAATGAACAATTGGCAGGTGGTAACACCAGACTGAACGCGAGATAACCATATCATATTCACCGTTAAACCGTTACTGCAGTCAATCCAGTGGTCTCCATGCGGGATTGCGTTAAATACCATGCGTGGGCCTCAACCACTCAATCGGAGGTGGGTTGTCATGTGGCATGCGAATCGGTGAGAGCGAAGTGATGCTCTCCGCCAGTGAACCACCGTATCCCACCATTTACGCTCGCTTCAAAGTGGTTTAGTTTCACCCACGCGGTATGCTGGTACGAGTCTAGCTATGCACTTCATGGCAGTTAAGTTCATCAGCTATGACTTGCGTATGAAGATCCAGTGGATTCAGTTATTTCGACGCACATAGACAAATGAACGATAATAATATCAATATTAATAGCATCGCTATTAACCCATTTCTTGTTTGCAATTTTCAGGGATGATTTGAAGTATTGCGTTAACGTTCTATTTATTATTTCTTTGACCAGACTTTCAGAAAAGTCATTAATCGTTATCATGCAGAAATCTCTTTGGACAACCTATATTTATCTTAATTAAATCAATGTTTAAATCACATTTTGGGTGTTCCTAAAAAAGCAAATGGGTTAAAAATGACGTGGTACAGTAAATATTGAGGAGTAAACTTGCCAGTTGAAAGTGGCTAACGATTGAATAACGAGTGGGACTGCGCGAACGCCACAGACTTCGCGAGCGCGCCACATCCGATGCGACATCTCTAACCAACGATGTGGACTCTATCCCGAAGACCCTATTCAGGGCACTCACAGGTATCAGCCAGACCCAGCTGTTGGACGAGTTATATATAATACACCTTTGCCTTGTCATTGACCAACCAATTCGGGGTCTCAGCCAGTTGATAGCGGTGTTGAATAACAACACACATCGCTGTGGTAACAGGCTAACAAGCACGCAGAACACATGACGGAGGTAGCGAAGAGGATTTGGGAGTGACAGGCAATCCGATGATGGGCTGTTGTCAGACTATTGATGAGTAACTTCAATACTATTTGTACGGTGCGCCAACCGGATATGAGCGACACTTCACAGACATCGATGTTCCAACACCACCAGTCTCCTAATATCTTCCATGCGAAGTGAACAGATCCCAGATCCAAGTGGTGTAACGCTGATCGCACAGGGGCGTAATAATTACTACCCCCAAACCCAGGCCTCATCTCACCGTCGCCATGAATTAGTCCCGTCTTCGAAAAGGCACACGAACCGTTTCGACACTTACGGCGATCTCCTCGGTAATATGGCAGCCATGAGTGGTGCAGATAGCCGGTAGTTCGGTGAAAATTTGAGTCGGAGCTGAATCGATGCTAACCTGTAACACCCCGTCGTACTTTGTAGGCTGAAAGCACATGCCGATGCGCGCAGCGCATCGCAGTCTAAAGCGGCTATGTAGTCCGCCTACCTTAGACTACGAATGCTTAATCGATAACGGTCTTATAACCGTATCTACTAGGTTGAAAATTCAAATAGCATATCTAAGGGGTTATTCGTCTGAATGCTCCGCTCCTAGTAGTCAGTTAGCAAACAGAACTCTCGGCCCAAGGAAGTGAGAGAAGAAACGAGAGAGGCATTCCTGATCATCCTGACCACGCGTATTAACACCCTGACGCATTGCACTTTCCATGATATGGACCCAGGGGAGCGTTTTTCATAAAATCTTACAAACTTAAGGGAATTGTAGTATGAAGATATTAGAGTGTAAGGGGATCTTTCCGGTGAAACTTTAGGTGCCACCACAAACTGCTGCGATTAGCGGCATCAAACGGGCTTCAAGTCAAGGATGATTACAATAGTAGGCTGTTTGTAAGAATGATGGTTCACCAGCCTATCAAAGAGCAGAAGTGTGATGCATGCATCTTTTTTCAAGGTGTGTCCGGACTGCTCTTCACTGATTCGTCACATCAGCATGATGTCCGTCAATAGAGGCAAAGTAAAACCGATACCAGGACGGCGTTCACAAGAAGTCTTTTGGCTATTTTTGAAGATGGGGATAACGGTTGACGGCAATCGATCAGAAGGCAGTTTCTGATTGCGCCAGTTAGTGTCTAACAGAGTGGCTACAGCGGTCAACAGCGGTGGAAGGTCGTCTTATTCTGTTTCGGCAACACTAGGTCGTGTTGCGTTTCCTCCATGGTGGAAGCTTTTAACCGCGTTTGTCACAAGCAGACTCAGTTACACACCGTAACCAGACGACCGTTTTGTCTCATCGGGACTTATCAATAGCGCATATCTACCGGATCTTGGGGGATCAAACCTCTTAACCCTGGCTAGCCAGCGAATTGAGCCACTGCGATGTGAGTGGCGATGTCGAACCTGGTAGAATGATTGCTAGCGGCCATATACTTCAGCATGCTATCTATGAAAGTTCAGAGGACAGGGTAGGGCTCAGTTACCATTTACTTTGCCATACGTCACCAATCCATGTAGTATGTATGCCGTCTGAATGAGTCTGGCTGTGATTAACCATAGCAAAACACAACCCATCCACTATTCCCTAATAATGGTAGCTGTTACATCAGTGTCCTAGGGGAGTTAAGATGGCCAGGATAGCAAGTCTGATGCATCGGAATGGTTGTGATGATCTTGAGGGTGCTCAACCCAGTGTTCTAGTCGACTCGAGTGACGACGATCCAGTTGATTAGTTTTCTCAGTTGACTTCCAAATTTGGGGCATTTATCGGGTCCCTGAGTTAAATGAGCGAGCGAATTACTCGGATGATCGTAGTGTCATCGAGCTTCTCCATCCCACTGGCCTTCACCATCTGCTAACACTGCGGATTAATTTGGAGGTTCTAGTAGGATAGGGTTTCAGAGTGCCTTGGAAGTCTTGAAATGGACACTGAAGTAGAACCATCTTTCACGATTTAATTATGACAAACTAAGTTCCAGATGCTCACCCACAACAGAAATACCCTAGGCTAGGAGCACAAGCATTCTCGAATGTCTTTTGCGTTGTATTTGACGATATCGTAGATCGCTTCAATGTTCTACGGTGAAGCACATTGCACTGGTTGAAGTCGGCAGTAATTTTTAGACAACCCCTGAATATGCTATAAGAGACAAGGCCTTTTATGTATCTTTCTATCATCTTTGCTAATTTTTGTACTCAACACTTTTTTACCTACTTGTCTGTCCCAGGTACTCAGTGTGGCCATTTCACGAGACAGCGAACTTGTTGTATCTGGTAGCTGGGATGGATCGATTCGTGTCTGGCGTCTACGTGACGGGAACCAAATCTGCTGGTTCTCTTCCAACATTGAAATACTCCAAGTTAAGATCAGCAATGACAAACGATCACTGGTCGCGTTGGGCGAGAGAAATGATCACCGAAAACTGATTACTCTGCGCGTTGTACGCAACCGTGTCCGAACGACCACAAGTGTACGCCCAGCCGGATCGCGCCTGAACTCTTCGCTCTCCCCACCCACAATGTCCCCCAATTCGCCTGCAGCGATGGTTTAGACAGTGCTCTGAGCCCCGGTACTGTATCTCAATCAGCTGTTCTGCCGAATAACGTACGCCGTGCACAGAGCAATCGCCAGTTGGCGATTTGCAACAATTAGACATGTTTTATATACACAACTCTGGCCACTACGTGAGTGGATTCACACCCGCAGCCACGCTCACACACACACAAATTTCCAATTAGTATAGACTAACAGAGGTCATGGCGAAGATCAACGGCGTGTTATTCGCATTGAACATCCACACAAGTTGATTGCATTTAACCAAAAATCTCTTGGTCGATTCTGATATGGCCAGTTTAGAAATCTTTGTTCATTATATAGGTTCGCCGAGATCTACCCACCATGTGTTTATCTTATAATACCCTTATCCAACCGTATGTACTCGCTACCCTTTTGACGTGTGAAGAACCAACATTTTCCGGACACTGCAAGTACCGAACAAGCGTCTGTGATGTACGACCAGCGCATGGTTTTACTGTGACCTTGGATCACCTAAGAACCCTGTCTACGATGCCCATTTTGCTCTTTCTTTGCATGCCGCTTAATACACGCGACCGATATCCCTAGTTAGACGCTATTTTTGGAAGGATATCCACTGACCGCTTATTCAAATCTCCGGGAAGGATAGCGTTCGCCTAAGACGATCACACAGAAGAATCATCAAGAGAACACTCCTTAGAATGTTTCCACTCTACCTTAACTTCTCTATCATATGAGGAAAAACCATCACAAACGTGTCGCTGCACAAGTAACGGCGGCGGCATCACGTTCCTCAAGTTTGATTGATGTTACAGATACCTGCAGTGAATGTGTTACTATGCTTTTTAAATGCAACTGCTTCTCCTTCCCGCTCTGCCTGCCTCCACATCGAATATGCCCCCGAAGCAGGCACACACACACGCGCACACATTTACACGAACTGAGCATCTTCTCTACTACCATCGTGTGCTATTTCGCGATATATATTTGCCGCGTATTCAGTCAGTCGGCAGTTCATCCACTTTTGCAACTGTGCTAGTGCCAATTGTTAGGGCGCGTACGTTATCTCATTTTATTTCTTTTTCGCTTTCGCTCTGACGATCGTGTTCGCAACTATTTTGGGATCAATATAGTCTCATTTGTTTGCTATATACACGAATATAAATATACAGACATATAAGACCCAGAATTGCAAGCGGGTTTGGTTAGAACAGAGTTCTATCAAATGGTTCTTTCGAAGAAACGTATCTTCCGAAGCCAGACGCGGTAAAACTGCATTGATCGTACGTAGAAGGAAAACAGTTGATGGTTTGCGCACTATGCCCAATCCAACATAGTAGCTGAGGGAGGAAGTTCATGTGTGCTGACCTGGTGTGTGGTGCCAGACCTGTGGAACAGTAGTGGTAAAGCTGGACTGTCTTTTCGTAGCGACCGTGAAGAAATGAAGAATGCACATTTGCGTTACATTAGTTTTTGGGACGTTTGGTGCTGTCGATGCCAACGGTCTTCCAAGGTATCACATAGTTTATTTCTGTTGCAACGGCACTCCACCATATCAACGTAATCTAGTGCGGTAAGTGGATGAAAGGAATTATCACGAACAGATCTCAGCCTCAGCGAACACAAGCCTCCTCACACCACGTGCATCAAGGATTGTAGACCAGTCTATAGTGTCGAAAATCGTTGACATGCGACGATTCAACCGACGCCCATCAAACCGTGCACTAGAGCTCTGTGATGATTTGCACCTTTAGAGCTCAACAGATACCACAGCTTGTTATATTCTTCTGAGGTGAAGAAATCAGTGGTACATTCTCAACAATGCGATACATATGTGCATAGGCATGATCATGCTAAAACTACGCGAATGGGCGATAACTGTACAGAAATGTTACAAATTCACCGATAGCGTTGGATCTCTTGTCGTATGAATATTAGTATGCATGAATGTATGCGCGTAGTTAGCAGTATTGTTTGGATTCGTAGATGTATTGCTCTAGTCGTGAATGTTTTACGTCAGATCGTCAACGTGAGAACGGACCAACGCAAATCTACAAGGTGGATGACGGACATCCGTGGAGTGGATCAGTTTGTTTGGACTGGCAAGTACCGAGTCACATCCGTCAGGTCGCAGTGTTGTTAAACGGATATTTGTGGCTCGTTGCATGCAGAAGGCTTACCAGGCGAAAACTCATCACGTTTGGGAACGCTACTGTCGAACCACTAGTTGGAAAGAGACTAACCTCGAACCTCCCAGTTGACACCGCGGGGAAGTTGTTCGGCGATCCAGTCACTTCGGTTTATCAACTAAACACATACATCAAGGCGCTGTGAATCCAGTTGCTTCGGCTCATTTCGCTATGTTAACAGCTGCAGTGATAATTATTAATAATAATATAACGTGAGCGATCGAGAAACAGAGTCGTCAAATGTAGTGGTTAATGGCCAGAAACAAAGGGACAGATGTAACAACACAACTGTCTTCGTCGTATCGCCACCGTTCGAAGGAGGATGCACCTGCTAATGTAGCTGATCCCAAAGCCACTCTAAGTACACAACAAAGTAATTACATAGCATTTCAAAGAAACATTTTATGTTTTTACGCCTCGTCATTGACTGGTCACCTCATGGTTTCATCAAACGACTCGCTGGCATGAGAAGAACCGCAGGAGGCGATCCGCACTCAGTAAATACTGCAGTGGGGTGCCGCAGCGATTATCACCAAACACCAGATGGAATTCTGTGTTTCTTATTCAGTTCTTCCATTAGATATGAGAAGCCTCGCTGTAGGCATAGGTGACCCAACTCAGTCACTCTTGTAATATCTACAACGTATAGCGGACATACAGTAACACTGGTGTGACATGCCAACGTCTCTTCAAATCACCGGAGCCATTTATTATACCTGAGGTGACATTCGTGCCGAGGTGGCTGTTAAAGATAATAAAGCCGCCCAAATAGTTGAACAGGTCAACCATCTCGGGCGGGTTTTACATGAAGGTAGACAACTGGTGGCGTTTGACCCAGCCTTAAGCAGTATTTTGCATTTTGAATGTGTAAAGCACCCATCGAAACGCAAAACTGCACGAGTCACCCTGTTTGGTAGCAATTTCACGGTAGCTAGGTACTATTTAAAGCAAGGCCAAGTGCGTCGCGTTCTCTAAGCTTGACAGTCGGTCGCCCACCAAACATTCTATCCTAGACAATGTGTCATTTACGGTCATTTCGATCAAAACGTGGAAGATTAAGGGACAGATAGGGTAATCATGGTGAACTCCCCCTGCCCTACAGAGCTCAAGGGAGACAGGATTATCAATGCTTTCTGCTCCCATTTGGAATCGTCAGGTGGAGATAACCGGAGCTGATCATGAGGCCAGTGAGATCCGTCAGCAATACTTGACACATCAGTTGGGATTTCATTAGACAAGTACTTCACGCCTCAACAATGGACGAAAGGGGTAGCTTCTCACAACCCTCCAAACAACTCCGAAAGTCGCGGCTTAAATGTTCTAGAATGGTGCCAATCCTTGCAAACCTTTCCACTTCAGATGCGGTTCTAGTGATCGGAATGACTGAGGTCTGCTTCAAAGTAACTCGAAATCTCAATAAAGATTGTGTGCAGTAATCCAACCATACGGTGAATACTTCAAACACAACTTTGAACTCCCGGACATGCATTTTAGAGTGAGATATAGCCACAGCAGCGCGATCAACCGTATCGAATACAGGCATCAAGTCAAGGAATACTACAACAATGAGCTACTATAAAAGGTTCAAATGCCTTAGTTGGTATATATGCAGCACGAACCCGTTCGATAAGTTAGTTATGCAACCAACTCCGGAAACAAACAGGGGTTTATTCAAATTAGGTACGCTCGCCTTGTTCATTAGTACATGATGGAATAAAAAGCATAACTTTACAGGACCTACAGGAGGAAACATGGAAAAGAAACTTAAAACCGTAAACATTCCAACGGGGGATGCGACTTATTTGTAGTGGAGACGTCACACTTTAACACACAGTTGTGTAGCGTTTAGCACCAAGATGAAAGTCTAAAGGTCTTTCGAATGTCGCGATGTCTGGTGCGTTCACCATATGGGGGAACAGATTCTAAGAGAGTAAACATAGTTTCTACAGTTCAAGCGGGAGTGTTGCGTTAGTAGTTTGAGGTGGTGGCCTTGGCTTTGTTTGTAAGAGGCTAGGGTCAGCAATGATGTATATGGGTGCTCACTTTCAGTTAGCATCCCGTACGTAGGTAAGAGATCTTTACGAGGCCGTCGGTATTTTGAGTAGAACACATCGAGTAAACGAAGGCACAGTTCGGACATGAGACCGGATAGTCCACGTGTGGCTTTGGTGGTTGTTCTTTTGGGTTGCTCCAAGAGACTAAGATCTCATCTTAATGGGGACTTCTCCTAGATCGGAGGATGTCGTTTATACCGGGGTGAGTTAGGGTACTAAAGGTGAGTATTTTCTCGTTAGGCTCCACAGGAAGAAAGAATAAAAAAATGAAGTTATCAAGAGTGAAAATCAAATGTTAACAAGCCCCATAGGTTATGAGCGAGAGCAAAATTAAGTGCACCAAGGAACAGGTAATGCATATCGGTGGTGTTACCGTATATCTCACATGTACACACCATTTGGTTACGGCATGCCTTGTCCCAACAACCCGGATTGAAATCATTAAATGCAATCGGTTTAATACGTCACAGTTTAGTTTGGAATTCCGCTAAAATGAAAGCAAAGTGGCAGCAGGCAGGATAGTTCCACTACTACGATAAACGAATGGAGAGCAAATTCCGGCGACTTTTCAACCGGCTTTATTGGGTGGCTAGCTTCAAATGGTCACCTTTCACTGAGGTGTTGTGAATGAGTTTCAGTAAGTATTGGAACGCGCAGAATGGATCTTTGATAAGCTAATACACCTACAAAGATCGCTCCGATGACGACGATTTTGTTCACAAAAACCTATGGCCTTTGGTCTAATTTAATAAAAGATATGGGGTGAGTCTCCG